ATTGGTTTCTCTCTCTCTCTCTCTCTCTCTCTCTCTCTCTCTCTAACTCTCTCTCTCGCTCTCTCGCACGTGCACATGTACTTAAAAAGGGAAAGTATTCAATGGGGCTGCTTACTTTGGCGCAACAAGGTGAAAAGTGATATAAGTTGTCAAATATTGATCAGATGGTGGGAGGTCTGTGATGCTCTAAGAAAACAAATTCCCCAACGTTGTTCGTACCCAAGCCTGGCACTGAGACCTCAAACGGTGGGAAACAGCCTGGTTGACGTGACTGACGGACGTGAAGACATGTCAGGCCGTACTAGTAGGCATGGCAAGACGGTGCTGACATATCAGATTTCAGTACGGATTGTGGTTGTCGAATTTCGATCAGCGATTAGAAAACCGTACAACCAAGACAGTGTGCCAGCTAGCACTTGACGCCATTGCACCTGTTTTCGGCGCCATTCGGAGTAGCTCCAAAGTTGTGATTGGTCCATCAGATAGCAATCAAAATCAAGAGAAGGCGACATGTGTCCAACAGAAGTTTGAAGGCAGTCGGAATGCTGCTGGCGCCATTGCCAGTGGCGTCAGATTTTGACAAAGTTGTATCAACCATATTAAAGAGCAATTAATATTTTGTTGTCCGTCATTAATACAATATTAATGACAGTGGCGATAGTTTGAAGGCGTTCGGCGCATTCCAAATGTCGCCAAAATTCTGATGGTCCGGATTTTCATACAAAACTGACCCAAGGGCTGTGATCAGCCTTCTTTGCCTATAAATACCCCTTTTTGCCTCAAACCTAAGGTCCTAATTCTCTATAATGTTGAGCTCAAGCTAGATTTGAACTTCATTTTGAACTCAAACTATGAGATAGACGTTGTGAGAGAGCCCTAGGTGTGAGCCCACTTGAGTAACCCCCACCCGTCCTAAACCCGTGAATCCAAAACCTAAGCTTCTAACCCCTTCAAGCTATACTTCAAAACCGAAGGCAGTCTGGATAATTCGAGTTTTCGAGCTCTCCTTCTTCCTATTTCTACTTGCACCGTTAAAACTGAAAGTTCAGGATTACCTATGCACAATTTAATGTAGTATCCTCTCCTCTGCTCTCTTCACCTCCATTTTATTATCTTCGTAATTTTATTTCTCTTATTTAGATATTGCATATCTGGCTTAAATAGTGTGTTAGGTTTCATAGTCTCCCTGCTTTTTCTTTTCTTGTTCTTTTTGCATTTTGTAGTTAGATTCTTTACTCCCATGCATCTTTATTTTCCTAGCCTGTTAGCTTATTTGTGGTTATTTTCTCTCCTCCCTTTTCTAAATCTATTTATTTAAAACCTCCTTTTCGTAAACCTTCTTGTTGAGTTCCAAGGTTGAAATAAGAGGGAAGCTGGCTTTGCTGGCGGTCCGAGAGGGATATGTCCTTGTGGCCAGATTCTATTCTCTTCCAACTCTTTGATTTGTTTGCACCCAAAACCAAGGCGGGGGTGAAGTCCCTTGCCTGCATTTTCGAGTATAAACAGATCTCCATTGGATTGTCTTTGGTTTCAACAAATTTTCAGGACATTATAGTGGATTATTAGTATAATTTTGTGTATTCTTCCCATCATGTAATGAGACCTTTGCTAAGTTTTTCCATTTTGAATATTTTGATGGACAGTAGGATACCATGTTCACTCTAAAAGAATTTAGTATGATTTATTGATTTCATTTCATTGTATACTGCGTAAGTAGTAGTTCGGGACTCTCAACCCTAACTATTTGTCATTTAGATTTACACACTGTGATCATTGAAGATTAGAGGAATTTCTTTGCTTTAATAGTTAACTGACACACACACACATAGACATAATTTAGGAATTTCAATTATAAAAGCATCCACTAATATCACCTTGTTGATCATTGATCATATAGTGATATCACATATTTTTTGCTCATGTTATCGAGCTCCCGGTATTTCGTCTTGTATTATATTTAGAAATATTCCTTTTGCCTGGTTCATTTTATAGTTTATATTATCTCATTATTGTTAGCCGACCCCCAATAATTGGGATAAGACTATGATGATGATATTATCTTATTATTCTATCGTACCAAAGTTGTTGATTTGAAACTGTTTTATGCTTTTCATGTTGGTTGTATCTTGATGATATGAGTATCTATAAAAAATATTCTTATACCACTTTTTTTTTAGGCTAGGTGACAACTAAGCTGGCTTGATTCTTCCCATTTTTTCCCATTTATTTTGATCTTCAAGTAAAGTTGTAATGTGCTCTCATATCTATTCTTTTGCTTTTTCGGTCTGAAAATGGGAGAAGAAGGCTCTGCAATTGCAAAAGATATTACTTTCAACATATTTATATGCTTATTTTTTGCTAGGTATCTTTATTCTTTTTCTTTTACTTTGTTTGTTTGTGAAGAAAGTAGAATTTTATGACACTTACGTTTTCTTGGTGATCTGCATACAGTAGATTGGTAAAACACCTTTGGTTTATCTTAATAATGTCACAGATGGCTGTGTTGCCCGCTTTGCTGCTAAGCTGGGGGCAATGGAGCCCTGCTCCAGCGTCAAAGACAGGTGTATTCTGACATCCTTTTAGTGTTTAAGTTGAATAATATTTCTGATCAGTCAATCACAAGGGAACAGAAGAAGAAATGGAAAATTAATCTGATTTCATATTGTTGCATTTTAACTTGTAGGATTGGGTACAACATGATCTTCGATGCTGAAAGGAAGGGTCTTATCACACCTGGACAGGTTTGGTTATCTTTTTATTTGCTGTATTTCCTTCTAAGATACAAGGAAAAACTCAAATGTTTTCTCATGTTTCATGGGCCTTCTCACTTGCCCAGAAGACTTTATATGAATCTTATCAGCATCTAATTTCTCCAACCATTCAGCAGCAGGGAACCCATAACTGCAGGTATATTTTATAAGGATATTATACTTATGCTAGCATACAAAGTATGTAAGCCAGCTGAAGATTTTGTTAGATATTTCATGCCAGGTATTTTTTGCAATACTGGTTTTCATCTGAAGAATCCTAATTGCATGTGTCCTTTTATACAACTCAAACACACACACACACACACATATTAGCCTATAAGCTAGTATTGTACAAGTTCATCACATTGGGGTATTCCTTTTCATTTTTGGCACTCATCCTCTTGACCCTTGAAAATGTCCCTATTAAAAATTTCATAAAAAAAAATCCTTAAAAAATGGTTGAGTGAGAAATTGGGCACTGTTAGCCTTCTCTTTGGAGCACTTTTGGATCTATGATAGATGTTCCCAATATCGTTTTTTTCTTTTCGGTTTGTTCATCTAGTATTTTATTGTCAAAATATTGAAAAAGGTGTGGCGTCAAGTGTTTCAAACTTAGGGGTAGGATGATGTGAGTATCACCAATATGTGTGTGTGGAAAACGATAATATAGGCTGCCCAGCCTATGGAGTTGTATAGACTGGGCAGCCGTGATCTAATTTTAACAGATCTGGCATCCAAATAGATGGGCACCGTTTGATATTTAAGTGTTTTTGTAAATCCTATTGACCTGCAATTTTGGGGACATGCCTGTACTAAGCTGCACCTAAAAATATGCTAGAAATTTATCTAAAGGGCCCTACCCTTTTATGGTGCATGCTGGCCGTCCATGTTGGTCAATCTCGGCTGTCTGGCCTGTACTGTTTCAGAGGCCAGCCGAACCGTGAAATCTCATGCGTACAAAATTACATATTGAACAACATTATACAAATAAAACATAGGTGCGTCTATATGTTTGTGTGAATAATGTGTGTGCACACCTATGGTTTACCTATATAATGCTCCAGTAAGTAATTTTGTACCCATGCAAAGTAAAGGATGTTACTCATCAAAGAATGTTCGGCTGGTTTGTTTTGATTTTCAAGGCTATTGTACCCTGTGTCAGGATTCATTTGCAGGGGATAATTGCAACTTCTTTAAAAATTTGGCATTCTGTTCTGCCAAAGAAATTACAAATTGTTCAAAACCCCAGATTTCAGTCCTATCACAAGAAAAATATTGGGGTAAAGTCTGGATGGCACTTTGTTCTATGTTTTAGTCAAATTTCATTCATTGTTTTTGTTGGTTAGGTTCAATTTTTGCTATAATTTGACTGAAATTTCATGGAATTATAGTCACAAGTTTGGCCCAAAATCAAAGCTGTCTCAATAACTGTAAGGTTTTTGCCAATATACTCTTAAACTGCCTTGGCCCCAAATATTTGCCTCAAATAATTGCCAGAATATTGGAACTGTGATTTAGGTTTATATGATATGCGCATCTAAGTTCATCTTTTCTTCCCCAGGCACACATGCAACATTCGAGATGACAATCTATTTTTTGAATGTCATACATGAGTCCAAGGGAAAATGCTGCTTGTGGGTTAGGTCAATGAATTAACTCACTACTTACTTTGTTGTCGGTTTATGTTGTCTGCTTCACACTACAGAGCGTGCTGATTGAGCCAACTAATGGAAACACATGCATAGGGCTGGCCTTTGTTGCTGCGATAAGGATTACCGGCTCATCATCACCATGCACACTGCTGCGAGCCTTGAGAGGAGGATAGTTTT